CGAAGTCCTTTCGGATGTAATACCGACCTAAAAGCTATAGTTGTGTATCAGAAGAATAGCTCTGGAATAAAATCACTTTAATAAACAGCAGAAATTTAGAAAGTTTAAGTACAAAAATTAAGAATAGAGTTGAGGATAAAAATTGCCAATCAGATTTGTGCAAACTCATGAGGCATATAAAAAAGAAGTTAACCAACAAATATCGTATGTACAACTACTGCATAAATGATATGATAAATACTAGCTGCAGGCTCTCAACTGATCTTACACTTTCTAAACTGAAAATACACATCTATATCTATAGGAGTATGAACAATGAACATATTGATCAACTGTAAAAATAATTGACAAATAACAACACATACATGATACATCAACTAACAGATATGTACCTGCCATGGATAAAGTTTAGATATTCCTTTCTTATTGTATACGCTGCAAACTTCTGAGGGAAGCCACGTGCTGAGACTTAAACCATCTTTATTACGATGAGAGCTTGAAGGAGTATTACTTTCTTCAGATTCACTAGAGTCAGCTGATTTTCTTATGTTGCCTATCAAATTTTTATCTGCCTGAGCATTATTTGCAATATCAAGAGTTTCATGTTCTTTATTATTAACAGAAGCAGATTCAGAGATCCTACTACTTCCTCGAGTAATGTTATTTTGATCAAATGAAGCACACTGCTCTTGGGTACCTCCATTTGTTTTTTTATCTTGAAACAAAAGGTCCAGATTCTTGACAGGGAGTGGAGATACTTCTTTACTAAAATCTCTCCCTTGCTTCTCCACGACCTTCGAGTAACCAATGGCATCTTTAGCCTTTACTCTGCTTTCATCTAAATCTAAATTTCTCTTTAACTTGTCACTGCAATTATCTGTTTCGTTGCTGCATGAAAGAATAGCTTCATGTTGACCTCCATCTTTAGCTTCTACTGAACCAGAGTTCTCAGTTGGGTTTGACAAACCATCAGCAACTTGAAATGCTTCATTCCAGAAAGACTCTCCAGGTGAGAACATTGAGCTACCACTCCCTGACTTAGGTGTTCCAACAGGACATGATTTGACTGTTGATCCAGGCGTGTGGCATTCAGTAGGATGAGCCGATGATTCTGGTGCCTTTGTACACTTCCTCAAGCCCATTGAAATTTCAACAGATTCATTGCTTGTAATCTGTGAATATATTAAGAGCAGAGAAATTAAATAATTTAAAGATTGAATCAGTTTAGCAGTAAGACAAGTAATCATGACTGTTGATTCCAGTAGTACCTTCTTTTTAGGGTCTGGAACAGATTTTTCTCTCTTATCAACAATACTAACGAGTGGTTCAGGCTTAGTCCTGGCAAGTTCATCTAGCGATGGTGTATTTCCGAAATCACAACGCCTCTTCTGAGAAAGTTGTATATCTTGAGCAAGCAATGATGAACTGCTTTGACGCTTCAGTTCGTTTGCCTTCTTATGAGAAGGTGAGCCAACAACAGACTGCACTCCACTGCACAAAGCATACAAGAAAAATTTAGAAATTCCTCAAAGTTTCAGAACAATTGACTAGTCGCACATAATACAAGAATGGTTGTTTCACCAACTAACTCCTTGATGATAATGTAAGGAATCAAAATTAGGCACAATCAAAGCACATTACCTACAATACAAGGACAAGAAACCAGTGGCAAAGTCTCTTAGTTCTGAATCATAATTCTGGTTAGCACATAGGAAACCATCTGTTGCGTGAGTTTCAGCTGTAGCAACACCTTCTTTATGCAAAACTTGAGATCCGCTCTGGTTCAAACACCCTTCAAATCCTTTAGAAGTTTCAGCACTTAGGGGTTTAGGCAGTCGCGGTAGTATTCTTTCACCAGCAGAAGAGCCAGAAACCTCCAAGTCCATTTTTTTTGTAAACGCTTCCTGCCTTGCCTGCAACCCACTACTGGTAGATTTCTTGTCATCCAGAGAGGCTTTCAAGTAAATGTCCAAATTGCCTTTGTCTCCAGGAGACCTTTCTCCTGTCACCTTCACATTTTTCTCATTTCTCCCAGACTTCAAATTTGGTGACTGGTGTTTCCTCTTCTTCGAGACATAAAACTAGTAGTACAGTGACAAGCAACATAAGAAAAACCAGTCAGTAGAAACACACTTAAGCTTCAATATCACAAAACCCCCCTCGTTTTGTTCACTTCTCTCATCCAGCAAAAATAATTTCACTGTTCATGGTTTGACTGGAGAAAAACTTTTAAAATACACCCAAAAAAACAATTCTTTTTAACAATTCCGCCTGTAAATTCCACTTCTTTATATATTCTCGTTACTCACTATCCAAGTGAAAAAATTCAAACTTTGAAATTCAGCCGAAATGTGGTTCAGCTCAAGTTATGGGTCTTAACAAACAACCCTATGAATCGAAGACTTTACAAAGTTCTTCCATTTACATCGATAAAGGTCAGATATTTCAAACACAAGTTCTCGAAGTCTTGAGAAACTTTAAGATGTTGCAGCAAGCGCGAATTTACACACACAGAAAACGAGAAAGAGAGGAAGAAGAACTACAAATTCGACATACGCCAAGAGTTCGCGTAGACAAATTAGGTAAAATCAAGAGAGAGAAACGGACCTGATCAATCCGTGACCTTGAGGAATCTGAGTCCATGAGCGGAGAAAGAAGAAGAATAACCGCCGGAGATCTGAAGAAAAAACCCTAATCGGCGATTTGAGCGCCGGAGGAGTGAGGAGCCCCCAAATGCAGGGCGATGTAGAAAATAGAATCCGTAGCGTTTGAAATTTGATTTCCCTTCTATACAGAGAAGGTCTAATATATGTATTTTTATATTCTTCTTTAAAAATTCAATTTTTTTATTATTTTTAAAGCTCCTAATTTCAATTTTGAACCATAAAGTTTTTGCCTTTTTGGTGTATATGTACTTTTGGAGGTTTTTCAAAACGTTTTGTGCCCTTGGTCGCTCAACAGTATACAATATGGTTTCTATGAGAAAAAATTTGTCATAGAAAAATAGGCTGAACTGTGAATTTTTATATTTGATACACTAACATTTTTAACTAAAGTTTAGAAAATATGAAATTTTAAATCATGTTGTATTGAGTGTGACGAAATTTATTGTTTTGTTTAAATTTAACTTACACAGTTTAGATGGATTTAAGATAACCATACAATTTTAATTGTTTCACAATCCTCAACATAGAGTGAGGGCATTGTATCTTAAAATGTGTCAGCCCATCTAAAGAAGAGTTCTATTTCTCTTGCATAGCTTTCCCAGGGAAGACCGATTTTCCTCGAATCTGTGTAACTTTTGAATGATAAGTAAAGTAGGACAAAAATCTGTTGTTAACTTATTCTTCTGCTGGTTTATTGGCTGCGTGTTTGCACGCAACTTGGTTATTCTGGGTCTGATTTTGATTCTGATTCTTCAGCTCGTTTCCAGCCACAAGGAAGAAAGCGGTGTGCCTGAAACAAATAAAAGCAGCACACTTAATACATTTTGCTCCCTATAATATCTGCAGAATCCAAAGGTCTATCATCTGCAGAATCCAAAGGTCTAGCAAACTTTCATTCATGTGACTTAAAGTTTACTATGTTTGATTTGGTTTCTGAATTAAAGACTTTTTGACTCTTGAGAAGAAGATGGTGTATACCTAAAGAAATTCATCATTTTGACTTTAGAGTCCTGGTCAATGTCAAGCGAATCGTCCAGAGCATTTTGCATGTGTCGTAGCCATCTCTCTGCAGCTTCATGGGTCACTGGAAACGGACGGTGACGTCCGATCAAAGCAGGATGACCTACAGAGAAAGATCATAAGCCACAAAGAGTAAGCATGAGTTTGGGAGCTGCCAAGTCATATTTAGTCAAAAACCAATTCATAAATTGGTGCAAACATGTATGCTAAATGCTAATGTCCATGGTTATACAATCAAACTGACACAAGTGCGGTGCATGTCTGTACTAAGTAATCATCAAAAGGGATAAATGGTTCATCAAAGTGAAAAATTGCTGATCCCTTTTTCTCCTCTTCTTTGCAAATGTGAATCAAAATGAGCTTAAGAGAAATGAGAGAAAATTTGCTAACTTATTATATAATGTGTGTGGTTGTTTCTGATTCAAGCATATAAAACCAAGAACCAATTACGCGAACAGCAAAAACGAACCTTTCCTTTGAGAATACAAAGGAGGACCTCCCATACGCTGGACGAAGAACTCATACTGGTTCTGGATGGCATCTTCTTTCTTCGAGTTAGAGAACATAGATCGAAACCATTCTTCTTCGTCATCATATACCCTACTCTCCATTTCAAGAAAATCTGATCATAAGTAGAAGCATTATCCAATGTCTTAAAGGAGATCTACTGTAGAAAGTTTAAGACTTTTTAACGCCTCCAAAGTCAGAAGACAAATATAACAAATTCATATATAACACAAATCTGCAATTCCAAGCTAAATCCTGAAAACATTCCAATTTAATCTGAACAAGTAGAGCTAATAACCCAGAGCAAAAACACAATGAATCATTGGGAAATCAGAAGAAAAGGGGAAATAGAAAACCTGGTGTAGAAATTGGTGGATAGATTGATGAAGCATTGAAGACCGAGCTTCTCGAACAGGCTGGACTCGTCGATGGCGAACGCGTCGGTTTGATCGACGCCGCTCCATAGCGACGCCTTCTCCTGCAGCGATTGCA